CTCAAGTCGCCGTCTACCCTATTTAAGTATGAAGGCCCTTATACACATGCGCCTAGGCCCCAGAGTTTTCCTATTGGGTTTAGGGTTTGGGGTTCAGGGTGTGGGGTTTGGGGCTTCGGGTTTAGGGTTAGGGGCTTAGGGTTAGGGGTTTAAGGTTTAGAAGGTTGGGGTTTAGGGTTTGGGGTTTAGGGTTTAGGGTAGAGGCAAGATTTCTTCAAGGGCTCCACATCTAGCAGGGGTTCCTGGTCGTTTTCCCATAAGAGAACCTGTAAGGGTTTTCTCTGCAGGTTCCCCTATTCGCCCCGACCACTATCACTAGAGCCCGAAGCCAGATGGAAGTTGCAAGAGAGCAAGCTCAAACTTCTGAACCCTAAGATTTCAACGCCTATTTGGCCGTAAGGTCTTAAGGTGTAGGGTAGATCCTGAAGCACAAAGCCGAGAAAATCACGACATGCATCAGCTGGGCTCAGACGTAGTTCAGCTGCCGCGTGGATCCCTCTGTTCGACTAGACTTCGCGGGTTTCAGGATGTGCAAGGCTTCGGCGACGAAGTGCAGGGCTTACGGTTTAGGGTTGCGGGTCGAACACAGGCATTTCACACAATCAAGCAGATTTAGGGCGTTCAGCTCACCGATTTTATGCTTGGAAACCCGGAAGTCAACAGAAGGACAAGCTGTAGCGGGTTCCACGCGGCCCCAGGGGCTTGTACAGAGGGCCATGGCATGTTTCTTGGCTGTGTTTGCCCTGCTCCAGTTCCGAGCTGCAAGTCAGATGGCTCAGACCGAGGACACTGGGCAAATCTTCGCAATGCTGTTTGTTGGTGTAGGGTTTACGATTTAGGGTATGGGAAGTGCAGGGTCTGTGCAGTTCGGTCACTCATCAACCTAGACCTCCGGCATCGTTTTCCCGTAGTGTCAGCCATAGTTGCCGCTGCTCATCAAACCAGGAATAGCCCACAGCAGCGGGAGCAACCGCCGCAAGAAGAGCAATGAGAAGAGTAACATGCGAAAAGCTAAATTTCAACACCACTATCCGGTGTTGCATTGAATGCAAAACGCAGACCTGTTTTCCATCAAGATGCCTGCTGCCGTCACCAGGCTTGCCTAGCGACGGGAGAGCAACCTTTGCTCCTACAAATGGGGCGAAAGGCGCCTGGCGGAAATGTGCGGGCTCAGAAGCCAGGATTTGGTGTTTGGCGTTTGGGGTTGAAGTGCTCTTCGGGTTCAGGGTCTCGTGTTTCGGGTTCAGGGCTGAAGAGATTCGGGTTCAGGGTTTAGGGACTTTCCGGTTTGGGCATAGGGATTCGGAGGGTCGGACGAAGCTCCGAATCCCTCAATCTTCAGCAGATTCCAGGTGGAGCTGAACATGGCGACTTCTTCCTGCGTGTGCTCCTCGAACATCGATATTGCGGCGCTGCAGGTACTGCAGGCGGGTGTAGGGTTCTATGGTCTCCTTACAAATCAGTTTTTAGTTTTTGTTCATATAACACCCAAGAGAATATTAAGAATACTATTTTTTTGTGGTTCTAAGGAGGGGTATATGGTTTAGGGGTTGAAGGTTTAGGGTTTAGGGTTTGCTTTGGGGCGAAGGGGAGAATTGCACGTGTTGTTTGCGTCTGAAGCGTCCGGCTGAGGGCTCAACGCTCAACCAAAATCTTGAGCCCTACACTCTACCCCGAAGCTCGAAACCCTAAACCCTATAAACCCTAAGAGTTTTTCTCAAGGTTGTGCTTATAGAAGCACTTCCCTAAACCCTAGACCCAAAACTTGAAGAGTCTTTTCGGGGGGTTCCGAGTCTCAGAGTCAAGCAATTACGCCGTCAAGTCGTGCATTGAAGGAGTCGCTGCGTCATCGGGTATATACCCTTAATATAGCTATTATATACCCAGTATATAGCCCATTGTAGGGACCCAGGGGTCCCCAATAAGGGTCCCTCCTATTCCCCTAAACCCTCTAAACCCCCAAACCCCTAAACCCTAAACCCTATACCCTTATAGAATCCCTATAGATCCCTTTAAAGGTCCCCAGTAAGGGTCCCTCCTATTCCCCTTTGATAAGACCCCAATATCCCTTAGTTTGGGAATATACCTTAGATCATATCAGGGATCCTGCCATAAATTTAAGGTATACTCCTGAATTCCTATAGGGGTCCCTCCTATTCCCCTTTGAAGGAGTCGCTGCGTCATCAAGCGCCTTCCAACGTGGGAGCGGACGTGGCTGCGGTGCTGTCATATGTATCTGGCCAGGCAGGGTTTGGAGGGTTGAGGGTTTAGGGTTTAGGGTTTGGGGTTTAGGGGTAGAGGGTATAGGGTTCAGGGTTTAGGGTTTAGGGGTTTAGGGGTTTACGGTTTAGGGGTATAGGGTTTAGGGTTTAGGGGTTTAGGGTTTAGGGTTCAGGGTTCAGGGTTTGGAGGGGTTGACATGCGCTATTAGAATTCTGGACACCGCTGCGTAGCCATCGTAGAGACCCGAATGCTGAATTCGCAGAAAATTCTGGCCTGTCCCTCTTTCTGCACGCCGGCTAAACCCCGACACAGACACTCCTGCAGACGGTCGCGCTGATAGGTGACGTCGGAGTATGCCAAAATTGCCAATGATACAATCATCTTGGACGAGGACAGCTGTAAACAGTGTTTCTTGGGTAAATGTTCTGCCCCAGCACAGAGGCAACAACTGAAGCCTTCAGGAAGATGGAAGCTGGCTGACAAGACTAGAAAAGATCGGTGAAGCGGTGGTGCTAACTGCGGTGGACGAGATCCCTGTCGCTGCTGGGATGATGAAGGTGGCAGAGGTTCAGGGGTGACATTTGATTCGGGGGGCTCGCAGCCGAGAGCCCCAAATTCCCAAGCCTAGAGAGCCTCCGGGTTCATGTTTCCACACCCTACAACAGGCCCATGCAAGCCCCTGTAGAGCTATAAGAAGGAGTACACAACGTGGTTTTCTGATAAGAAGCCCCTAGACCCTGAACCCTAGACCCTTGTAGTTTCAGATCATCCCAGGTTGGCGGGGTACTGTCGAGCGTTCTCAGTTTGGTCTGGCCATCCACCGACACCGAGTATGATATCTGGGCGCTTATCATCGGCGAGGTCAAGGATCCTGGGTTCTCCGGATTTTGCGCTTTGGGGGTTTATGGGATTTAGGATTTTAGGGTTCAGGGTTTTGGGGTTTAGGGTTTTGTTTGTCCGGGGTTTTTGGGCTCTTGTTAGGCAATCGTTTCCTGTTATGGCCCAGTTATGGCAGCTGATATTAAGTTCCTTGAATCTCAACCAACCCCTAAGAAGTCCTTATGACACCGATAGCAACTTATGGCAACTTGAGAACAAGTTGCTTACCCCGAATATCCACCACGCATCAAGAAACCATGAAGATAGCCTCTAAAGCCCCTATAAACTCGACAGAGTCCGATAAAGACCATAAACCTCAGTGGAATCCGATGAAGCTTCGCAAAAAAGAGCAGGAAGCTACATGAAAGCCTTGTACAACACCAAAAATGCTCATAGCACCCCATGAAAAACATTTGTATCACCATAATAGACCAGAGCACCCCATAAAACCCAGTGTGCAAGCTCTAAGCTCGAAGCCTAAACCCTAATGCCTAAACCCGAAAACCGTAAATCCGGCAAGAGTTCCGGGTTCCTTTAAGGGTTTCCTTAGTAGGGTTCCCTTAACAGGTTCCTTCAGGGATCCTTAAGGGGTTGATGCCCAGGAGTTGGTCGATGTGGCGATCCTGGAGAAGGAGCTGAATGAACGGCAGGGCGATTTCTTGGGTGGCGAGGCAGCGATTTTTTCTGAGTGCCGGAGGATTTCATTGGGGGGTTTAGTTACGTAGAGCTTTGGGACATTTTATGTTTTCTTCTTCTACTGGGTATTACGAGCAGTGTAGTTCTTGGTGATGAAGGGGTTCTGTGAGGGTTCCTTTACGGCGTTCTGCAAGGGTTGGACAGGGTTTAGGGTTTCAGATACTCGAGGTTAAATGGGGGTCTGAATGAGCATGAATTTTCTCACCCTCTGTTGTAACCCCTGAAAAGTTGTATTACATTGCACCCCAACACAATATTCTCGATGTGATTCTGGGGGTGAGTCATGGATAAGGGGCTGATAGACACCTAGGGGGGTTTCTATAGATAGGCATCTTCTGCACTCTCCTTTATCGGACCCAAGACAGCCTGGTACAAGGCCTAAACCCTAAACCCAAAGGCTTTCAAGGGCCAGCCTAGGATTGCCCACCTCACCATCTCAACAAACAAGTACCAGCTGCTTCCGCTTACGATCGTTGCTGCAACCATCCACTGCTCGATCCTCAAGGAGAGGGGGCCAACGACACGTACCTAACCACAGGCTTTTGAGGTAATATCTGCACTGGAAGGTAGGACTCGACAGTTTATGCTTAGATGCCTTGTTTGGGCACCCTGAAGGAGAGGATCACGAGTGGCAAAACTCTCTATGGGATCCAAGACCCGAGTTGGGACTATGCACTGCAAGCAGCTGTGTCGTACTACCAGACACCATGTGGCACAGTGAGCAACGCTCTTGAATTTTCCTTTATGGTTCTCTTAAGCCTTGGTAGAATTGTTCCCAAAGACCACAACAGATTTCAAAACGCCCGAAAATACACCCAAACCCTACAAGCATTCCGTAATCAGGTCCTTCTTCGACTTCACCTATGGCCTGTGGAAAGACTGGAGGAAGACCAAAATCGAGACTTCGCCTTCTGAGTCTGGAAGACGTCGCCGGAGGGAGAACCAAGGCTGCTACAGTACCGTGAAGGATGACCTCACCAACACTGAGCACCTGGGCTTAGGGTTTTGGGTGTAGGGGTCAGGGTTTAGCGTCTAGGGTTTCCTGGCTGGCCAGGAGTATCATGTTTTGTTTGTTTCTGGTCTGGAGTTCCGCCCAAGATTGATTAGTGGGAAAGGGAATCCTGAATCAAGGGTCCACTGGGGAATGCAGGTACAGCCTTTATTGGAACCTCGACGACAGCATCTGCAACACTATTGCAAACATGACTCAGACCCGAGTCTTGAATGAGGCATGCGGCTACATGGCCAAGGCGCTGCAGCCGATCATGTACCTGCAGCGGTACATTCCTGGCATGGAGTCTGCCGAAGTTCAGGTCCTGCCTGCTGTGGAGCAGATTACCGTCGGGCCATACGCGGCAGTGACGCAGGACACTGACGGTACCCAGCTGCGGTACGACAAGGACAACATGTGGCATCTGGGTTCCAGTGTGCGTCATCCGCTTTCCGAAGATTCTTAGCCAGTCTTTGATTGAATCTTAGCCTTATTTCAAGATCGAAGGCATGAAAGCAAAGACGAGAAGATCGGCGATATCACCACGGCAAGTGTTTGGGCCTACGACGTGGTTGAGCCTCCTTTGAAGAGTACCTTTTTCATTCCTGCTCCGGTAGGCTCACTGTAATCTTGAATTCGTAGCTGCCCTCGTTTGTGAAGTGGATCTTCGTAAAGGCCGCGCTGGGTTTCTTTTACAAGCAAAGCCAGAACCGGGGTTTCTTTTACAAGCAACAGAACCGAAAGCACGCGGGGCCGGGTCGTGCTGGCTCGTGGCAAACCCCGGTCGTTTTGGCAACAAACCCTAAACCTCTAATGTAGGAACCTGACTAAGAAACCCTGGGCCTATACTCCCAATATAGTAGGATTCATATAAGGAACCCTAGTAAAGACCCAAGGTTTCTTAATCAGGTTCCTTCATTAAACCCCTGAGCCCTAACGAGACCTGCCTGCTTGTGACCATGGAGTCCTCTTGAACTGTGCAGTCGCCCCGAAACTGGAGTTTCCACAGGTGAATAGTATATACATATGTGTGTATATATATATACATATATATATATACATATATATATACATATATATATATATATATATATATATATATATGAGAGAGAGAGAGAGAGAGCAGCCTTTAGGGTCTATTTGACGCATAGTTTTAAGTATTATAAATACGTAGAATTGAAATAACTGAAATAATTGAGACAGGTAACAAAAGCTTATTTCAATTATTTCAATTATTCGGCTTCCGAAATAATTCAAATACTTGAGAATTCCGTTCCTTTGGCTGTTGGGGGGGGGGGCAGATCCCCCCATTTCAATAATTGAAATAGGGCCGATTTCAACTATTTCAATTATTCGGGACCCGAAATAATTGAAATAGGCCCGATTTCAATTGTTTCAATTATTTCAAACATTGAAATGGTGGGGGATCTGCACCCACAACATCCAAAGGAATGGGATTGCAATTGTTTTAATTATTTGGGTTCCGAAATAAATGAAATTTATTGAAGTCCCGTTCCTTTGGCTGTTGGGGGGGGGGGGGCAGATTCCACCCATTTCAATATTTCAATTACTTCATTTTTTCAATTATTCGGTACTCGAAATAATTGAAACAATTGAAACAGGCCCGATTTCAATTGTTTCAATGGCTGTGGATCTACACCCCCAACATCCAAAGGAACTTTTCAATTATTTCAATTATTCGGGACCCGAAATCATCGAAATCATTTAAATAGGCCAGATTCCAATTGTTTCAATTATTGAAATGGGGCGATACCTGGCTCGGGCGAGAGTGGGGAGGAGCTGGGAGCTAAGGGCTAGGGGTGGGGGAGGTGGGTTGGGTTGGGTTTTCCCTCCCCCTACCCTTCCCCCCTCCCTTCCATCCCTTCCCTCCTTCCCTCCCTCTCCTCCCCTCCCTCCCTGCTTCCCTGTCCTGTCTCCTCCTGCCCTCTGACCCCTTTCCACCAGCCTCCTCCTTGCCTCCCTGCCCCTTCCTCTGTCCCCACCCCCACTGCCCCCTCCACTCACCCCTTCTCCCTGTTCCTGAGGTTTTTCAACAACCCAGATCCAAAACTCACAAATCGCAAGGGCTGTCCCCCTAAAGTTTTTGTTCCTGAAACTAGACTCCAAGTCACAGATCGCAAGGGGTGTCCCCCTAAGGTTTTTCAACAATTCAGATCTAAGAATCACAAATCGCAAGGGGTGTCCCCTAAGGTTTTTCAACCATTCAGATCCAAAACTCACAAATCGCAAGGTGCATCACCCTAAAGTTTTTCCTGAACAACGTCACAAATCGCAAGGGATGTCCCCCTCAAATTTTTCACAATTCAGATCCAAGAATCACCAATCGCATGGGGTGTCCCCCTAAGGTTTTTCAACAGTCCAGATCCAAACCTCACAACTCGCAAGGGGTGTCCCGCTAAAGTTTTTTCCTGAAGCTAGACTCCAAAGTCACAAATCGCAAGGGGTGTCCCCCTAAGGATTTTCAACAATTCAGATCCAAGAATCACCAATCGCAAGGGGTGTCCCCCTAAGGTTTTTCAACAGTCCAGATCCAAGCCTCACAACTCGCAAGGGGTGTCCCGCTAAAGTTTTTTCCTGAAGCTAGACTCCAAAATCACAAATCGCAAGGGGTGTCCCCCTAAGGATTTTCAACAATTCAGATCCAAGAATCACCAATCGCAAGGGGTGTCCCCCTAAGGTTTTTCAACAGTCCAGATCCAAGCCTCACAACTCGCAAGGGGTGTCCCGCTAAAGTTTTTTCCTGAAGCTAGACTCCAAAATCACAAATCGCAAGGGGTGTCCCCCTAAGGATTTTCAACAATTCAGATCCAAGAATCACCAATCGCAAGGGGTGTCCCCCTAAGGTTTTTCAACAGTCCAGATCCAAGCCTCACAACTCGCAAGGGGTGTCCCGCTAAAGTTTTTTCCTGAAGCTAGACTCCAAAATCACAAATCGCAAGGGGTGTCCCCCTAAGGATTTTCAACAATTCAGATCCAAGAATCACAAATCGCAAGGGGTGTCCCCCTAAGGCGTTTAAACCACTCAGATCCAAAACTCACAAATCACAAGGGGTGACCCCCAAACGTTTTTTTCCTGAAACTAGACTGCAAGGTCACAAATCGCAAGGGTGTCCCCCTAAGGTTTTCAACAAATCAGATCCAAGAATCGCAAATCGCAAGGGGTGTCCCCCTCAGGTTTTTCAGCAATTCAGATCCCAAACTCACAAATCGCAAGGGGTGGCCCCCTAGAGTTTTTCCTGCGACTCCCAAATCACAAACGCAAGCGTGTCCCCCTAAGGTTTTTCAACAAGTCAGATCCAAGAATCACTCATCACAAGGGGTGTCCCCCTAAAGATGTGTTTTCCTGAAACTAGAATCCAAAATCACAAATCGCAAGGGTTTTCCCTAAGGTTTTCAACATCTCAGGTGTCAAGATCACAGATCGCAAGGGGCGTCCCCATAAAGTTCCTTCGCGAAACTACATTCCAAAACCACAAATCGTTTTTCAACAAGTCAGATGCCAAGATCACAGATCGCCAGGGGTGTCCCCATAAAGTTTCTTCGCGAAACTACATTCCAAAGGGTGTCCGCCTAAAGGTTTTTGCATACAATAGATCCAAAAAAACACAAAGCGCAAGGGGTGTCCCCCTAAGGTTTCTCAACCATTCAGATCCAAAACTCACAAATCGCAAGGGATGTCACCCTAAAATGTTTCAACAATTCAGATTCAAGAATCACCAATCGCAAGGGGTGTCCCCCTAAGGATTTTCAACAATTCAGATCCAGGAATCACAAATCGCAAGGGGTGGCTCCCTAGAGTTTTTCCTGCGACTCCCAAATCACAAATCGCAAGGGGTGTCCCCCTAAGGTTTTTCAACAAGTCAGATCCAAGATATTTTCTTGAAACTAGAATCCAAAATCACAAATCGCAAGGGTGTCCCCCTAAGGATTTTCAACATCTCAGCTGCCAAGATCACAGATCGCAAGGGGTGTCCCCATAAAGCTTCTTCGCGAAACTACATTCCAAAATCACAAATCGCAAGGGGTGTCCCCCTAAGGTTTTTCAACAAGTCAGATGCCAAGAATCACCAATCGCAAGGGGTGTCCCCATAAAGTTTCTTCGCGAAACTACATTCCGGAATCACAAATCGCAAGGGGTGCCCGCTTGTTTTTTCGACAAATCAAATCCCAAAATCATACATAGCAAGGGTCTGAAGTTTCAAACATGGGGCTATACAACTTATTTTTATAAGGTCTCTATATAGGTGTAGGGTTTATATAAGAAATCTATAGGGGTTTCGTCTAAGGGCTCCATATAGAGGATCTTGCAGGATTCTCCACAAGGTCAACATGATAAATCGCAAGGGTGTCCCCGTACTGTAAGGTTTTGTAAAAAACCAGAACCCAAAATCACAGATCGCAAGGGGTGTCCGCCTAAAGGTTTTTGCATACAATAGGTTCAAACAAACACAAATCGCAAGGGGTGTCCCCCTTAATCTTATAGATTCCGTTCCGAAACCGTGTGGGTTCCCAACATAGCGACCTTATGAAAAACCGTGAAGAATCCCTTGTATGGAAGCTTTATAGAAAGGCCTTACAGATTCCTCGCAGATATCATATAGATCGTTATAGATCCCATATATGACGACCTTATGGAAAGCCCTTATACAGCTCTTCTGATATGGAGCCCTTACAAAGAACCCTCATAAATTCTTTCTTAAAACCTCATGAATTTTCTATAAAAACCTTATAAGGATCCCGTATAGATCCCTTATGTGGAGCCCTTGTGGAGAACCCTGATAGATTCATTGTAGAAACCTTGCAGAGTCCCATCGTAGAACCTTATGGAAGCTCCCTTTCGATCACTTATATGGAGCCCTCATAGACAGCTTTTATAGATTCTTATGGAAACCTTCTAGATCCCCTATGTAAAGAACTTATAGAAACCCCGTATAGATCCACAAATGGAGTTCTTCATAGAAACCTTTGAAAGATCCCTATAATGGAGCCTTCATAGACAACCTTTATATATTCCTTATAGAAAATTATAGATCCCCCATATAGAAACCACGTAGAAGCCCCGTATATATCCTTGTACCTTATAGATTCCTTATAAAGAACGGGTTGGAGTCCTCACGAGTCCAAGTTCCAGGATATCATTTACACTTCTCGATTGTGCCTTCCTGAGGCCTCCAGGTCTTCTCCAAAGGTCTTTCCTCTGGCCCATGAACCCTCGGGACGCTTCTACCTTTTCCGACGCACAACCACAACGTAAGAGGTACACCTGAGCTGTACATCTATTCAGACTGCGTGTAACTCTTAAATGTGGAAGTTCTCTGAAATCACTAGTGAAAGTCTGACCCAAGGCATACATTCCGAAACCAAGGCAACGCCCACCAGAACGAAGACATTGCATCGAAGTCAAAGGAAAGGGGAAGGAGTGACTTCCTACAAAACCTTGTAAATCCTCTATGTAGAGACCTTATATAAACAGTAGACCCCCCATAGAGAGACTTTCTAGAAGCCTATGATGGATCCTTCATATGGAGCCCTTATAGTAAACCCTTTTATATTCCTTATAGGAACCTTACATATCCATTACAAAGAGGCCCTTTAGAAACTCCTTGTACATCCATCATATGAGGCCCTTATAGAAAGTTCTATAGACTCCATACAGAAACTTTGTAGGTCCCCTAAATATAGAGACCTTATAAAAACACCTGAAGATATCTTATTTTAGTTCTTGTAGAAAATCCAGATCTTCGTGGTCGATGTCGATGCCGGAGAATTTGAATACTTGGTTTTTCTCCAACATGCCATGAAAATATTACATCTTTAAGCTTCTTTGTGCCATGTCCATGCACTGACATATGCAAGACAATATACATGTCAGGCCGGCTGTTCTACAGTAGAAGCCCAAAAGTTGGAAACCCAATAGCCTCAATCCTTAAAAGTGATGTCTAGGGAGTCCCAGCACTATTTGTCCTTAACCCGGTTTCCAACTTTTTGGGGTTTGCTGTCTGTTATGGAGAAGTGGTAACTGTGGTGCACTGTGTCATTAGCTTCACGGATTGGTCTGGTGGTTGTTTAGACAGAGAGCCCTTGTCGTCATTGACGCCTTGCCTCTGGGTAAGGTAGAACTTCGTACTTGAGGACCATATCTGACGTACACATGTGCAAACTAGCAATCACAACCTTCTGTGTTACAACCTTCATATACATCCGAGACCAAATGCAAATTGTTGTGTATCATATTGACAGAGGACAGCATTTCATGATGTATGGATGCCATCTCCAGTCAGTCTATGACATGAGTTTGCGAATGCCAGCAATTTGCTTGTGCATTACTTTCCTCATACATCGAGGGATAGTGCGCAACCAGTGGCGTAGTTGTGTTCATAGACAATTACGACCGATACCAAGTATGAAGAGATGCATAGCAACATCCTGCATGCGAGCGTGACGTGATGCATGGACGTGCTTGAAATTTGACAATTGTGCATTTGGTTCTATGTTTGAAGCTGTGCGAACTTTCTGGGTTTTGGTTTGTGTAATGCGTGACATGGATATGTATCATTTAGCTAAGCATTTGGTATTGTACATATGAAAACATAGTTGAAATAGACCCTAAAGGCGTCGGGCTCATATATATATATATATATAGCACAACCTATAATCCCAAATAGAGTAGTATGTGAAATACATACTTATAAGATAGGATCCGTATCAAAAGGAGACTCCCTGAGTTTTGACAGCCCCTTGACGTGAGGATTCCTTTCGCCTGCAGTTCTCAGACGGAGGAGAGGAGCGGGGTGGTTCTTCCACAGGTGGGCAGGAATATTCCTACGGTCTGTCGGAGACTTGGTGCTTGTAAAGGCACTTCGTCTAAGCTACCATCATATGGATCAATTCTGAGAATCGGGTGAACTTGTTATGGTAGCTTACACCAAACTCCTTAACAAGAGCCCAGGACAAGTACATCACTGCCGTAACGATGTACTTCGGGAATCCCAGCTTCTCGTATGCATCGGGCGAGGTGATCAAGATGTCTCTGAGCTTCTCTGACGGCACCTCCACAGGGATACCAGGTGGGAGTTTCCGAAAATCGGGGACCGTAATATAGCACCCTAAATTCGTAGGATCCATATTGTAAGGACCCCCAAATCAGGAAGCCCCCTAATTTTCGAAAATTCCCAGGTGGCCACAACCCCTCCGTCTGGGCCAATCCCATAGGGATGACTGCCACTGTCGCGGATGATGCCTCATATAAAATGGTGGGCGCCAGGCTGGGACGCAGTACGGGTCACTACTTCGGCTCCTTTGTTCAACAGCAGCTCCCTGATGCTCCTTTTTCGGATCTGCTGTTTAAGTCACAGGAGATTCGTAAAAGAGAATACTATTCTGAAAAAGATAGAATGCATTGTGAGGAGGTATAAAGGCAATATTCCTTTATAGGATGAAAGGGTTGCGGGGGAATCAAGGCTATCTGGAAGCGACCTTCCAGTTCGTGGCGGTGGATCTGTGGCAGGCTGCGGAATCTGCAGCCACCAGTACCTGGGTCATGTTTAGACTTCAGGGTTCAGGGTTCAGGGTTTCGGGTTTTAGGGTTCAGGGTTCAGGGTTTAGGGTTTAGGGTTCAGGGTTTCGGGTTTTAGGGGTGTTTGGCCAGGCTTTGATACACGCCCTTGTAGAGTCCCGCAGAACCCTCATCAACGCCACGGAGCCTATAAGAACCTCTGGAATTTTACGTATAGGACCCGAAGGCCGAATCATCTGCTCGAACAACCTGGGCTTAGGGTTTGTGGTTTACTCCCCAGGCTCTGACGAGCTTTAAATCAAGTGTTGTGGCAGCATGAGAACCCAGACCCCCCGGGAGGATCTAGAAAGTAGATCCCCTAACATGGGGCCTTATACTACTCAGGGTACTTTATAGGAACCCCCATTAAGGGATCTACTTTTTGGATCCTTTCGGGAGTCTGGGAAGTTGGAGTGTCGCAGGCAACCTTACTACGGGAGACAGGCTGGAGAAGAACCAGGCACTTCAGTGTCCCAACCGCCAGTACAAGCTGCTCGTGGAAGAGACAGGAAACGGGTTTTAGGGTTTAGGCTTTAGGATCTAGGGTTTAGGGTTTAGGGCACAGGGTTTAGGGCGTAGGGTGCAGGAAATGTTGCCATCTACAACATCTACGACCGCAAGACGTGGGAAACGGACACCGGCGGCCAGTGCACAGATGACACACCGTTCCTGACGCTCCAGGAAGATGGCAATTTGGTGCTGTACTGTGGCACGCAGGCTATGTGGACGACCGAGACGGAGGACACTGCGCCTACAATACCTATCCAGTCTTCTAAAACTCAGCTCTTGTTCTCCTAAGCCGTGAGCCCTAAACCCTAAACCCTAGCTCGAGGATTCCACTCGCCAGCACTGCCGGGTGGCGGCATTGGAAGTCACAGGCTATTTCTCTTTGTACAACGTGCCGGATCTGACTGGTGTCTGGTCCAGCTCGGGCACGATTCCTGTTGGATTCGGGAGGACATGCCAGAGCAAGATTTGTATGTAAGTGAATATGCATACGCAGAGATGTTTTCTCAAATGTGTGTGTGTGTGTGTGTACGATACATGCGCAACTGTATGTATGTATGCATGTATGTATATATTTATGTCTGCATGTATGTAGATGTGTATACGGACATAAACACAGATGTCTAGCTAGGTATATATATATGTATAGATATATACAGATCATATAGAGTATGTACAGTATGTAGTGTATATAGAGTACCTAGAGTATATATATATATATATATATATGTTATACTACCATTTAAGATGATATGATACGAGATAATTGATAATATCAGTCGTAGAGTATAGAAGAACGTAACATGGTACAAAAGGGCAGAAGGGCTTGAGGCACCATATTGCTGTGTGATACAGTTTAGTATGATATTGATTTGTACCTACTTTTAACCGTAGGAATGGTCATGATATCAACGTAGTAAAACCATCAGCACATAACTAGATAAATAGTTGGCTATATACATGCACAAAGAACGATGTATGTGAATTAATATAAAATATTCTTTAAGTACATGTACATGTATATTCATACATAAGTAGTCGTCATAAAATATACATACAAGTAATGCAGTTTTATACACAATATACTTATATATATATATATATATATATATATATATATATATTTACATATGTATCCATCTGTAGTTGTCGCACCAGACGGATAATTGTATTGTATTTTTATATGACAGCACATAAGTCATCATTAGTATATGATCGTTGGCACGAAATATAGTCTAGGCAGTACATCATATGTAGTACTTCATAAATGGTATACAGTGTAAAACATACGTTCTGGTATGTAGTACATAATGCGCACTATGTCACACGTAATATGTAGCATGTAATATGCAATATGTCGTGCGTAATATATATATATATATATATATATATGTATCTGTACATGCATTATGCATCTAGATGTATATTATATGGATACATAGATAGATAATTAGTCAGATAGATAGACACAGATAGAGGGGTGATGCCGTCAGCATCAGGCATCGCCCCACATGTCAAAGGGACACTGCTCCAGTATTTGCAGCCAGCCGAAGGTGCTTTTGGCCTTAGCCTCGCTGCCGGTGCTGTGCATGTTTGCGTGTTTGTTCGACCACTCCCCCCCATGCCCTGTCTCCAGTGTCCCCAGCCGAGTACTTCGATGAAAGATCATCGAGTGAAGAGTTTGGTTCCGCCGAAGTGGTGTCTTGCCAAATGTCCAGTTCCAACCCAAGCTGCCTGGCTTGATTCCAGCCCAGACGGCTAGACCGACCGTTTCCGTGGGCCGGAGAGCACCCGCGAGGTCGACACTCACTCACCTACTCACTCATTCATTATTCAGTCTATACATCTATCTGTATATACATATATATGATTATGGGTGTTGGTGCATGCGCAATAACCATAGCCGCATGGATATTGTATACTTAACTTACATCTACATTTGCAAACACGCGTGTGCATACGAATGTGCGAGTGTATGTATGTCTGCATGCCCGTCACCCAAGCATTCCTGAGCTTTCGATGTCGACCCCTGAACCCTCAGACGTTTAGGTTTCGGGGTGTAGGGGTTTGAGCTTAGGGCTTCCTAACCCCAAACCTTGAACCGTTCCATGCACTCCTACAGAAGGAGCAATATGACCAGCCCAAACGTGCTCTTTCCTGGCATGCGTCTCGTGCAAACGACCTTCTACGACTTCACACTCTCCGTGTCTGCAACCAGGCGAAAGTGAGATTTCAAGAGCCAATCCGAACATTCTATCCCGAAAGAGCGTCGGAACTATATCCGCGGAAGCATCAGGATTTTGGGTTTTTTTGGAGATGGGGGTCCAAGAGAGTACTTCAATGCTGGAATTGCCGTTCAGAGAGGCAGTATTGATCTTGCGAATGAAGGGTTCGGGTTTTTCTGTTTGAGGGTTGTGTTCTTGTTTGAGCCCTCAGATGCCAAGGAGGGTGGCAATGTCGCCTTGAAAGATTGGTCGCATGGGCAGGATCTCTGGTCTACTGGGACATCCTGTGATGCAGCACCGAAGGAGATTCAGCTCAAGATGCAGGCGTGCAGTTTGACTGCGGAACCGTTGTGTTCCTTTTCTTGCACAAGCCACCACTAACTGCAGTATATCTTAGTTTAATTAAGGGCGGTGCGAGTGTTGCCGTTTCTCTCCGGAAACGTAAACCGCCTGGATCCAGAAAACAACATCCTTGAGGAGGATGGCAATCTTGTCCTCTATTGCGATGGGGCTGTTGCCTTCGCCACCGGCACAGCTGCTGGGTTTTTGCTAAGGACGTTAATCTAAGTGACCATATGAAGGATTTGTAACAAACAATATGATTTCCTTTCTACGGTAACTTAAGTTAAATCCTTTAACACGAACCCAGGCTGACACTTCGCTGGAGGCGGGGAGCGAAGGCTCATCCCAGCACCCCAGACCAGCCGAAGCTGCAACTGATCCCAGAAAACCAGGCATTTTGCAGGTAGAAAATGCTTAAACCCTAAGCCTAAACGCCAAAATCCTAAACCCTAAACCCTGAGCCCCAAGCCCGGCTCGGAAGGCTTGGAGGTGGGCAGACACCTGTTGAGTACTAGAGGGGCCTCAATAATTGCCAATACCATCTTGGGGATTTTTTAGTGTAATGAATGTATAATGGAGCCCAAAACCCTATTCTAATTATTAAGGCCCCTATATTAGGTGAGGCGCTGCTGGTTTGATAATTCAGGCTTGCAGCCTAGAGGGTTTACGAGGCGAGGTTTCGGGTTTGGAGTTTGAGGTTTAGCATTCAAGGTTTACACTTCAGGATGTACGGTTTTAGGGTTTTACGGTTTGGGGTTTAGGGTTCAAGGTTTAGGGGTTCAATCTTCGGGTGTTTTTGCTTTGCGTCCCTCAGGAAGAAGAAGGAGTGAATACTCTCCTGCTGGAGACGGGCGGCAACCTCAAGATCATCAACAAGAGGGGTGGGAACTTCGAAACAAAACCCTAACCCTGTCCCTAAACGTCAAAGCATAAAGCCGTTGACCCTCAACCTAAACCCCAAAATCTAAAGTCCTACACACTAGGTTTTTGAAGGAACGGATGCCGGGAAGCTTTCTGTCGCGAGCCAGTGGAGCGTCCTCCTACTTATGGGGTTGGGGTTTTGTTTGGTTTAGGTTTTAAGGATCTTAGGATTAGGCTGTAGGACCTAGGGTTTGGAGATCGGTTCTCGGCCAAGCGATGATTAAGTTCCGTGAGGCTTCATTGCCCCACTGTAGCCTAGCCTCCAAATTCATCCCTGCAGGTGAGTCCATCTGGACTTCCGGAACTGAGGTGACTTACGACTACTTCCCGAAAAGCACTTGAGGTAAGCAGAAAACAAGCACCTGACGGTTCATGGGCAACGCAGAAGTTTCCTGTGCAGTACGTCTGCTTGAGTTTCTTCCCGGTATCGCAACTGTGCAGTTGGTGCTCCCCATATAGCGGACACCACTGTGCGGCCTGACGCTTGTGGAAAAAAGTTTCTGTGCTTCCGTGCCACGTCACGGTTTGTTGTGTCGCTGTCATCATCAGCAGCATCATCAACACCAACATCGTCCTGAACCTTCACAAGGTATTGTTTGCCGGCAGTCCAGTTGCTTCAGTCTTATGCTTACCATCGCTGCGTGTGATGCCTTCTTCTGGGGACAGGGGCCAGGATCATGGTGCTAAAGCGGCTGCACGTACTTCTGCTGCTGATTCTGATGGTGGTGGTGATGGTGGTGATGGTGACAATGATGATGAACGTAACTGGTTGTTGTTGCTTGTTGTGGTTGTTCTTGCCGTTGTGGTGGTGGTCTTGGTGCTGCTCTGGGGTCGGTGGAGATGGCAATTTTGATTGCTGCGTACATGTCGACGGCCTCCGCGGCAAAAGCCAGCATCAGCATGTAAGATTCCCTGCCGAAAGCCCTTCTATGTCCCCCCATTAGCATCCTTATGCCCTTTCATGTTGGGTTGTCTTCCTAACGCCGAATGGAGCCCTAACCCTAAGACCCTCCGCATGCCTCTGAGGTGCCATTCGAAACTACTACCGGGGACAATTCTGGGCCGGCGCCGCGGTTTTGGATCTCTGCTCCTCTTGGATCAGTCACTTCCCGGAGGAGCCTGGGCTGAAAGCTTTTCAAAAACAACCCCAGCAAAAGCATGGCTGGTAAACCGCAAGCCTTATTACCTAAACCCTTAACCCCTAAACCCTTCGACCCTAAACCCTGAACCCCTGAACCTCAAACCCCTAAGCCCCTAAACCCTAAACCTTAAGCCGCCAAACCTTAAACCTTTAACCCTAAGCCCCAAACCTTAAACCCCAAGCCCCTAAAACTTAAACCCTAAGCCCTGAAGCCCTGAACCTTAAAGGCCGAAGCCCTAAACCCCAAACCCCAAACCCTAAACCCTAAACCCTAATAGCCCGAACCTGAAAGCCCGAAACCATGGTTGCTTTGAGGATCTTCGCCTGGGTCGGGCCGTTGGCATCGGGCTGAACGCCGAGGCAGCGAGAGCCTGGGCTTTGGAGTACCATACTAAACCCTAAACCCTGGGAGTGCCATACTTTAATCCTTTCTTCGTAAAGGAACCATTCATGAAAGAAAAGTTTATACTTTTTTCTCCCGGGTTACTTAAAAGCCAAGCGCCGGCTGAACACCAACACCAACATCAACACCATCACCGTCAAGCTCACCATCCCTTCATCATCAACATCATGACCTTGATTATCCTTAATGCCACCGTGAGACCGGGGCCGCTGGTACCCAAACGAGAGCTGCAGGCCAAGGAATTCAAACCCCTTAACTCTCAGCCCGTACATACAAACCTTAAGCCCTAAATCCCAAAACCCTAAACCCTAAACCCTAATCCCAAAACTGAAATCCCATCAGCCCCGCAAACGCGACCCGACAGCAAAGAGGAGCTCTCGCGGAATCGGCAGCTCACAGAGTGGCTACGGCAGAATCTGAACAAGGCCAGGGTTTAGGGTTTAGGGTGTAGGGTTTAGGGTGTAGGGTGGAGGGTTTAGGGTTTAGGGTTTAGGGTGTAGGGCGTAGGGTTAAGGGAACTCCAACTGGGGCCTTGGGACGATCGGCCTCAATCGGTTTCGTTTTTCTATCCCCAAAAATACATTCATCAAGGAACAATGCCTTCCAACTAAGGAAGATCACCCTAAACCCTGAGCCCCTTCCCCCAAACCCTAGACCCTAATCCCGAAGCCCGAAACCCTACATACCCTAAACCCCAAGCTTAACCCCGAAGAATCTAGATTTTTAAGGACTTATATAAAGACATCATAATAAGGAACCTGAAAAAGGCAGGTTTTTCAGCGTTAAGGTAGACCCTAAACCCGAATCTCTTGGCCAAGGAGCTCCCCAACCCCACATTCTTACGGCGGAACCTGGGGTTCTAGCCGTTGCTGTCTCTCACTTTCAGGGAAATAGGGTTTAGGGTTTAGGGCTTAGGGTTTGGTGTGCAGATTTAGGGTTTAGGGTTTTGGTGTTAGGGTTTAGGGTTTAGGGCAGTGAGGGGGACTAAGCTTGGCTTTCAGATTGGGGTGTTCAGACAAAATCATGGGACCCCAAACCCTTACCGTAACCCCGTCTACCTGAACCACAAGCGGAAGGAGAGAGGGAGGAAGGGCAGGGAAACGTGCGTCAGAAACACCAGCAGCAGCCCTAATCCTCAACCCCGAACAAGAAACCTCAAACCCGAGATTCTCTAAAATTTTGCTCCGCTAACCCTCAACCCCCAAACCCTAAACCCTCAACCCCGAAACCCTAAGCCTTAACCCCAGTTACGCTCGCGCAGGATCCCGTTCTTCACTTCGCTGACGAGACCTTCGACTTCGTTGTCAATGTGGCCTCTGGGATGACATAGTTAACGGGATCCATAAGGGGCTTCTTAAAGGGGTCTATAAGAGTTCTATAAAGGGTTTAGGGTTTAGAGGTTCCGAAGGTTAGGGGGGCACCTTATTTTGGGGTCCTTATACAAAGCATCCTACTATTTAGGGCACTCTATTACGTAGGTTCCTCTATTTTCGGAAACTCCCACAAAGACCTGTAAGGGTTCAGGGCCTCTGAGGGTTTAGAGTTTAGGAGTTTAGGGCTTGGAGTTCAGGGCCTAGGGTTTGGCGCCTGGTTGTTTAGCAGGATCCATGAGAATTGTTAACGTAGGAACCTGATTAAGAAACCCTGGGCCTATAACCCCCAAAATCCTAGGATTCTTGTAAGGAACCCTCATCAATGGCCCAAGATTTCTCAATCAGGTTCCTACACTGCAAAGGTTCTATGCAGGCTTAAACATTATGGCCTCTTTACATGGGACTATGGATGGATATTCCGTATAGAGACTAGTACGAAGAAGGTGTTGGTGCATCATGCATTGAAACTCTATGGGCGAAGATTGCTTTTTCAGACCCGCATATTCTTTGGGGGAAAAGGGCTTTAGGATGTAGAGTTTAGGGTTTAGGACCGGTATAGTCCCTATGTGGGTTGTTCTCTACGCTAAGCTCCCTTTTAGGGTCCTTTTCATACGGTTGGCAAACTATTTTGGGGACCTAGAATGGGACCCGATGTAGAGAGATTATTCCTATGATGTGGATAGAAATCAAACAGACCCCAACAAAGCTGTTGATTAGCTCTTGATGCACCATGAAAGTTTGAAACCTAAACCCTAAACTACAGCCTAAACCAGGGCATCGGAGGTTGCTTTCGGAGCACCCGAAATCTTAGACCCTCCACCCCCAGACCCCAAGATTTCTAATTTGTTTCAGGATGTAGGTTTAGGCTTTAGGGTCTTAGGGTTCCGATTCAGGGTTTGGAAGACGGTGCTAGAGAGTTTAAGTTTAGGTCATGAGGTTCGTGGCTTCGCAGTCGGTGTTTCGATTTCCAGCCCTTGGCGCAAACCCTAACATCCTAAACCATAAGCCCTAAGCTAAACCTGCGTCAAACAAGAGGTCTTCCATGCGCTTCGGCAAATCCTGCCATCCCAGGTGAGTGTCGACTACCTCGTGCAGCCGCTGCAGGCTGGATGCCCACGGGGGTTTATACGGATTCAGGCTTTAAGGATTTAGGCTTTCGGCTTTGAGGAGGGACGCCCTATTAGGGCTGGGGCTCAAGGTTTAGTGCTCACTTTGGAGGATGAACATGCATGCGCTCCGCATGTTTGAGGCCCGGGCCCAAAAGAGGGTTGATCGCAGTCTCAGCCATGGGATTTGGGGACCGAGGTGTTAGGGTTCAGGGTTTAGCGTTCCGGGCTGAGGGTTCTGAGGCGCGGATGACGACACAAGATAGCCATCAGCCGTTCGA